TAGTGACCAGTCTATCCCTACTGACCAGTGTGACTAGTGACCAGTCTACCCCTACTGACCAGTGTGACTAGTGACCAGTCTACCCTTACTGACCAGTGTGACTAGTGACCAGTCTACCCCTACTGACCAGTGTGACTAGTGACCAGTCTACCCCTACTGACCAGTGTGACTAGTGACCAGTCTACCCCTACTGACCAGTGTGACTAGTGACCAGTCTATCCCTACTGACCAGTGTGACTAGTGACCAGTCTACCCCTACTGACCAGTGTGACTAGTGACCAGTCTACCCTACTGACCAGTGTGACTAGTGACCAGTCTATCCCTATTGACCAGTGTGACTAGTGACCAGTCTACCCCTACTGACCAGTGTGACTAGTGACCAGTCTACCCCTACTGACCAGTGTGACTAGTGACCAGTCTATCCCTACTGACCAGTGTAACTAGTGACCAGTCTGTCCCTACTGACCAGTGTGACTAGTGACCAGTCTATCCCTACTGACCAGTGTGACTAGTGACCAGTCTATCCCTACTGACCAGTGTGACTAGTGACCGGTCTACCCCTACTGACCAGTATGACTAGTGACCAGTCTATCCCTACTGACCAGTGTGACTAGTGACCAGTCTACCCCTGTTGACCAGTGTGACTGGTGATCAGTCTACCCCTACTGACCAGTGTGACTAGTGACCAGTTTACCCCTACTGACCAGTATGACTAGTGACCAGTCTATCCCAACTGACCAGTGTGACTAGTGACCAGTCTGTCCCTACTGACCAGTGTGACTAGTGACCAGTCTATCCCTACTGACCAGTGTGACTAGTGACCAGTCTACCCCTACTGACCAGTATGACTAGTGACCAGTCTATCCCAACTGACCAGTGTGACTAGTGACCAGTCTGTCCCTACTGACCAGTGTGACTAGTGACCAGTCTATCCCTACTGACCAGTGTGACTAGTGACCAGTCTATCCCTACTGACCAGTGTGACTAGTGACCAGTCTATCTCTACTGACCAGTGTGACTAGTGACCAGTCTACCCCTACTGACCAGTGTGACTAGTGACCAGTCTACCCCTACTGACCAGTGTGACTAGTGACCAGTCTACCCCTACTGACCAGTGTGACTAGTGACCAGTCTATCCCTACTGACCAGTGTGACTAGTGACCAGTCTACCCCTACTGACCAGTGTGACTAGTGACCAGTCTATCCCAACTGACCAGTGTGACTAGTGACCAGTCTGTCCCTACTGACCAGTGTGACTAGTGACCAGTCTATCCCTACTGACCAGTGTGACTAGTGACCAGTCTATCCCTACTGACCAGTGTGACTAGTGACCAGTCTACCTCTACTGACCAGTGTGACTAGTGACCAGTCTATCCCTACTGACCAGTGTGACTAGTGACCAGTCTATCCCTACTGACCAGTGTGACTAGTGACCAGTCTTTCCCTACTGACCAGTGTGACTAGTGACCAGTCTACCCCTGTTGACCAGTGTGACTAGTGATCAGTCTACCCCTACTGACCAGTGTGACTAGTGACCAGTTTGCCCCTACTGACCAGTATGACTAGTGACCAGTCTATCCCAACTGACCAGTGTGACTAGTGACCAGTCTGTCCCTACTGACCAGTGTGACTAGTGACCAGTCTATCCCTACTGACCAGTGTGACTAGTGACCAGTCTGTCCCTACTGACCAGTGTGACTAGTGACCAGTCTACCCCTGTTGACCAGTGTGACTAGTGATCAGTCTACCCCTACTGACCAGTATGACTAGTGACCAGTCTCTCCCAACTGACCAGTGTAACTAGTGACCAGTCTATCCATACTGACCAGTGTGACTAGTGACCAGTCTACCCCTACTGACCAGTGTGACTAGTGACCAGTCACTAGTCACACTGGTAAGTAGGGATAGACTGGTCACTAGTCACACTGGTCAGTAGGGATAGAGGGATAGGGACAGTGTGACTAGTGACCAGTCTATCCCTACTGACCAGTGTGACTAGTGACCAGTCTACCCCTACTGACCAGTGTGGCTAGTGACCAGTCTACCCCTACTGACCAGTGTGACTAGTGACCAGTCTACCCCTACTGACCAGTGTGACTAGTGACCAGTCTACCCCTACTGACCAGTGTGACTAGAGACCAGTCTATCCCTACTGACCAGTGTGACTAGTGACCAGTCTACCCCTACTGACCAGTGTGACTAGTGACCAGTCTACCCCTACTGACCAGTGTGACTAGAGACCAGTCTACCCCTACTGACCAGTGTCACTAGTGACCAGTCTACCCCTACTGACCAGTGTGACTAGTGACCAGTCTGCCCCTACTGACCAGTGTGACTAGTGACCAGTCTACCCCTACTGACCAGTGTCACTAGTGACCAGTCTATCCCTACTGACCAGTGTGACTAGTGACCAGTCTATCCCTACTGACCAGTGTGACTAGTGACCAGTCTATCCCTACTGACCAGTGTGACTAGTGACCAGTCTAACCCTACTGACCAG